ATATTTCTCAGTACTTTATTATATTTCCTTCCAATATGACAGATATCTGTTAACCGTTTTGAAATACCGGGGGGTCTGGTAAACAGTTGTGAAATACTAGAGGGCCTCTTAGAACTTTTTGTCATACTAAGCGACCTGGTAACAGTTTTGAAATACCTCTCAATTCTAGAGTTCATAGCCACAAGATTAGATAATTTTTATATTTTAGTAAACTTGAGATTGGGGTTTAGGTTTATCATATCTATAATCAAATTAGACATATCAAAACAATGCAGTATAAAATTGTTGGTTTACATGTGCTTCTATTAGAGATGTGCTTCTACATGGTATTAAGCAAACCATGTCTAATGTTTTGTTAAATATGTCCTAGTTAGAGCACGCTTGTTGAAAAAAGCTTCTGAGATTATTCTAGATTTTAAGTTATGCAAATTATTTCCCAGGTGCATCTATCTGGTGGCCAATCAGATCTGCAGGTTGTACAGTTAGAGAATGGTGATGTGGCCCAAGGTAAGATATACCAGGTGGTGGCCGTGACAGAGCAGGCTTCCCAGCACTCACATCAGGAAGGAACATCACAGCATCATGGTAAGAATTAACAATATAATGGAGTTTTTGGTGGTACAGCAATAACATAGGCTTCACCAGATTATGAGATCTATGTCATTTTTATCATGAAGATTGTTCAATTTATGACAACATATCATTTTTCGTCCTTGAAGTGATGTCAAAACAACGTGTGGGATTTCACAAGTATGAACACTAAGTGTTTGGATACGGGCTATACTATGAACACTAAGTGTTTGGATACGGGCTATACTATGAACACTAAGTGTTTGGATACGGGCTATACTATGAACACTAAGTGTTTGGATATGGGCTATACTATGAACACTAAGTGTTTGGATATGGGCTATACTATTTTTATGATGATCTATTTTGATAAAGTGAGTGTATGTCATGTTTCTCTCTGAACGATAGGCAACTACTAAGAAATTCAAATTTAGAATAAAATCATCAAGTTGAATTGAATTATGTGAGATCTTGCAGAGACCGGAAAATCTACTATTTACTATTAATCTTTAAACTGTGCATATGTACAAATATATCCATTTTTGTTTTTATTGTGTGGCATACATAAATACGTCGCTACTGTTAATTGTTCATAGTCTGATTGGAATCAGAGAGCTTATCTTTGTTTATGTTTTGTTGTATCTATAGTTCCTACCAGTACATGTAGTTTAGAGCAATTACAAGACGTAACACATTGTCACAACTCTGTGACAGCGTTGTTAGAAAGTACGGCTAGCAGTGTTGTTGTGCAACAAGTTCAGGAATCCACGCCACATAAAGAATTGCCACCAGGGTGTCCGGCATGGGCAGCTAGGCTCAAAGATGTTGAGGTAGGGTTATTCAGTGATAAAAGAAATCCAGTGATACATTATTCTCACTGGAATGTGATTCTGTACTGCCTGAGTGCATACTTTGCTGTATTCTCGTGATAACGTTATTATTATACATCGTAGATACGCTTTGTAATAATAATTTGAGGTAGAATTGTAGGTTCATGAATGCCCAGTGTTAAAATTGTTATGTTTTTGCTTTTTTTTATATTTAGACATTGTTGCCTACACACTATTATTACTGCAAACTGCTTTAATTTTACAAATTTTCATAAATTTCGCAAGTCAGTAAAAATCATGAATTTATATTGGAAGCAAAATTTGTCTATTTTCCTACAACTTTCACAAAATGTATTCAAAACATTCACTCAGAGTGTGGAGCTTCTTCAGCTGCTAAAATTATAGAACAAACTTATAGAAGATTATACAGACTAATAATTCATGTGTTAGGGCTGCCATTTTTCAAATGAATTAGACCAAATACACTACTAAAAATTTACAAAAAAAAATACACTTTGTTTTTACACTAAGTGTGTGTCTTATTTATTTGTGTTTACATGCACTTTCTTACATGCCTTAAGTTTCTACTACATCTCATGACTACTGTGAAATCTGTATTAGATGCTGTGACTTCTAATAAAATGTTATATTGCAACAGAGGGGATGCGGCTTCTATTAGAGCATCTACACATATGAGAAATAATGAATATTTTGTTCCTAATTGTACAAAAATAATGGATGCAGCTTCTAATACAGATTGTATGGTAGTAGGCTCTTGGTAGTCTACCATGCTTCCAAGAAGAGAATTTTGTTAATTTAAGACCTGAAATATGGTATATACCTATGAATACATATGTATGATGTGTAATTGAATGAACATGTAATCCAATATGTACTTATATTTGAAATTCAATACATAATTGTCTGTAGGCGATTGGTGATTCATACCGAGGCTTTGTGGAGAGCGAGGTAGAACTAGACTTACTGTTAACCTATCACAAACAACAGACAGGAACATTTTGGGGAACACGGCAATCACCGAGTCAGAATAAGCCATCTAAACGATTGATGTGGAAATCACAGTATGTCCCGTATGATGGGATACCATTTCTAAACGCAGGTAAACAATCGTTGTTTGTTCATATAAGTATTTATTATGTGTGTCAAGCTAAATCTGCGTGGTAATTCAAAGCCAAGTGATATTACAGCCTCAGTATCACTTACTATATCCGCAATTTGATTGGTCTGTAAATGCAACTTGAGCCTGATGATGTCATCTCCAAAGACACCATCGATCATTTATTGACTAGGCAATATATCCATGTATCACTATTTTTTTTTTTTTTAATGTTTTTTGTGCCAGGCTTTTTTTTTTATATGTGCAAATTGCAGATTTTTGCCACATAAGTCATATTCATGTTTGGGATTAAATGATAGAGCTGTGCGGCCATCTCCTTATCAAATGGCAATTTATTTCACTATCGTGGCATCAACCAGGCTCGGTCGAACACAAGCA